GGTTGCACCACCTAGATTGCACGGCATAGAGTGCAAGGTATCATTGTTTGGGGTCCACGCTGGCTAACATGTGTTGATCCTCCGAAATTCTCGAAGCACTGAGCAGGCGCCCGAAGTCTCCGCGGACCAGTAGGTGTCCGCGCCTCTGCCGCCAACTCATCGTCCATCCCTAAGTGATGGCATCGGTGCCCGCAGGGCGAGAAAGCCTCGGCCGCCACTCAGACGAAAATGCCCGGGGTGATAATGCCGGAGAAAGGACAGAAAAAAAGGCGATGAAGGTACGGCCTGCGGGAGGTCGGGAACGGGAGGGGGGGTCGGCACTGGCACAGGCGGTGGAATCACATCGACCTGGAATCGGCGATACATCGCCGACAGATCGGCGATAGGCCCCCGATATTGGATCCGCACCTTCCTGGCCGGGTTGGGGCTATCGGGCCCCTATCGGCGATCAATGGGCGATTGGGGGTCGATGCATCCTCCCCCTCTCCGTTTGCCCCCTCCTGACTGTCGTTGTTCCTCAACCAACAACCAGCACCCCACAACCGGGGCCTCGGCGACCTCAGTTCACAGATGGCCCTCAGGCCCACCACTCTGACAGTCAACAAGCTCGCAGACAGGATGCCGATGGCGCCGACATCGACCGGAAGCGACCGTTTGTTTATAGCTCCTCTCGTGGCGCATGTCCTTCGTCGTAGCCGAAGACTGGGACAGGCCCAGGGAGTCGTCCGAAGTTCTGCTCACTCCCTCCTTCGGGTCCTGGTCCCACACCGCGAGCTCACCATGGCGCCAGACGACCAGCAAAAACAGCCGCCAGACGAAACCCGCACATGTGCCCCGCGCCGTCGACACCGCGCCCACGCAGCAGGCACGACCTCGATACGCCGGGAACTGGATGTACTGCTGCGCCTCGAACCCCAGAGCCGCCACTCCATGGCCCACGCAGTCCGTGCACTTGAGCTCCGCGGTGCGCAGGTTGCGGAAGCCCTCCTCTGGGGGGGACAACAGACACGGATACCGCTGCTCCCCCGACCTTTCCAGGGCTGCGCTCTGACCAGAAATCCGAGGAGACTCCAGCCGTGGTGACGGGGCTGCAGGACGAGTAGCGGTATCGGCATCTGTTCCTCCCCTGAACCTCGTCGCCCACCTTGCTGAACCGGCTGGGTCGAAGAAACATCAGGGGGGCCAAGGCTACGTCTAGTCGATTCGAAACGTGTTCAGCCTCAATGTCGGACCGGCGCCCGGCGCCGCCTCGGCGGCCGCGCGCGCCGAGCGCGCGCCGCGCCGGCTGCGCGGCGATCCGCGAGTGCGGCCGTGCCGCGCCCACCGGGAGGGCAGCGCCCAGGGCTGCCGCCGTTGGCCGCGCCTTTCTGCGCCGCGGTGGACTCCATCAGCGCCGGCGGCGCGGTGTTCGGCGCGCGCCCGCCTGGCTGACCTGGAGGCCCGCCGAAGAGGGCGGAGGCGGCACCGACAAAGGTCAGGGACATCGTGCAACCTTGCCTAGCAGAGCGGTGCCAAGCACGCGGGGCAGTGCTGCAAGAGTATCGCCTGGAGCAAACTTGAACCAAAACGGCCCGGAGGGTCTCGAAGATGGCCATTGATCGGTCCAAGATGCCCAGAGAAGGCGCAAGATACCTCCAAGAAGGCCCAAGATGGCCCCATCACGGCCCAAGATGGCCCCAAGACGGCCCAAGTGGTCCCCAAGACGCCCCCAAGACGCCTCAAGAAGGCTCCAGGTCACGCAAGAGGGTCTCGAGAGGCGAAATCAATGACGTTACTAAGGTTTTCCCATGGTTTTCGAATTCTCGACTTCTGGGACTGAAGAGCATCCGAAACGGCGCCAAAGCCCCCAAGACCAACCAAAGAAAGCACAAAAGGACCCCCAGGGCCCCAAGACGACCTCAGACGGCGGCCAAGATAGCATCAAGACAGCCCAAAAAGGCCCCAAGAGGGCCCCAAGACGGCCCAGAGAGGGCCTCCAGACGGCCTCTGAAGGCGACAGACGGCAAGATCACCCTAAGACAACCCAAGAGAGTCCCACTATGAATGGCACCAGAAGGCCCCAAAAAGTTCCAGAAGGCAGGAGACAACTCCCAGACAGCCCAAAGATTTGCTCAAGACGGCCCCAGAGTGCCCTGTCCCAGCGTTCCCCTATGTAGTCGTTCCCCGCTGCTCGACATTTCACGATTCACGACACAGGCGCTTCCACCAGGCACGGGGCGGCTGTTACTCGCCGTAGGCGTCTTCGATATCCGCCATGCCCCATTAGCCTGCCGGAGGGGTGAAAGGGGCGCCGAATTGCACAACAGAGAGAAGCTCTGGGGCCACGCGGAAACCTGGACAAAACCGGGGAACCAACCAGAATCTGCACAACGCCCACCTCCAAGACGGCGAACAGGGCCCAACATTGTTTCTAAGTCGGCGCAAAAAGGTCCAAGATGGCCTCCAAGATGCACCTTAGACGGTCACGATGGCCCCAACATAACCCGAGACGGTCCAAAACGCTCACTTGGGGGGTCTCTTGGATCGTCTTGGGTAGCATTCGGGGCCCACGCGAGAGGCCCAAGTCTGTGTAAACCCGTTGGGTTTTCAATGATCGTCCTCCCTCCCCCTCGTCCCTCCTGCGTCGCTGACGGCTTAACGTTACCTGCGGTTCCACGACGCGCGCCGGATCTTCCACGGCGTACCCAGATTGGTCTGGTGATCTCTGGCTCTGCCCAGAGCCATCCGAGGCTGCATCGGGTCATGCCAACCCGCATCGACTCATCTGGCCGGATTCCCGCAAGCCGATTGGAGAAGAGCCGCCAAGCCCTTGGAGGCTCCCTACAGTCGAGGTCGATTGGGGAGGACACGCGAGAGGGCACACGACCCTTCCGAGGGCCACACTGCCATAGAAATGTAGAAGGCATGGGTCACGAAACTCAGGACACAAGGGTACCCTTGATTTGGCCTGGCCGACCTGTTAATCACCCTCGACTGTATCCCCCTCCGCGTCCTTCGCTCTCCTCCTCCCGCCTCGCCCTGGCCTTGGGGTCGGGGGCGGGCGGCGTCCCAAACCGCCCCAAGAGGGGTCCAAGAGGACCTCTATCTCAGGAACCCGGGAGGCCAAGGTCACCGAGGTTCCTCCGTTGGTTCCATGGTTCGCATTCTCGCCTGTCTGGGCCTCGGAGAGCCCAAGACGGCCCGAGAGGCACGATCGCCTCGAGACGGCCCAACAGAAGAGGCTCCCAAGAGGGCCCCAAGACGGTCCCAAGCAAGATGACCCCAAGGCGGGCCCCAGGACGGCCCAAGAGAGAGGGCCCCAGGACGGCCCAAGAGAATGCACCTCAAGACTGCCACAGAGAGCCCCGAGGTGGCCCAAGAGAGCCCCGATACGCCCACCGAGAGGCCCAAAGGCCCAGAGAGAGCGAGAGAGAGCCCCAAGAGGACCGCAGAGCGCCCCGTTCCCCAATGCTCCACCAGTGGCTGCCCCAAGCCCGTGCGGGAACGAGAAGTCCACTAGCATGGCCGCACTTTTTCGTTACCGCATAACGCCCAACCGCTTCTCTCCAGCTTCGGAAGAGCCTGGAGGACGACGAGTGCACGAGGGAGAAGAGGAAGCCGAGGCCGAAGCGAAAGCAACGACGACCCGAAAGCGCAGAGACTACGGAAGGGCTGCTGAACTGAGGAACGCAACAGGAGGAACGAGGCCCCTTTCTGGCCCCCAAGAAGCGCCTGCGTGCACGAGGAGTGATAGAGCACCGGCCATGAGACGGAGCTCAAGGAACAGCGAACCCCCTCCGAACTCAAAACGGTCCTCATATTTCGGCGTCTTGGCTGCAGCATGGCCGCACGTTGGCTCGACGTTTCCGCCACGCCGCGCTTCCACAGGGGGGCAGTGGGCGGCGGTGACGTCTGCCGCAGGCGCCCTCGACCCGCCGCCCCCGTAGCCTGCGGAGGGGCACTGGCGTGCTGGCCGCTGCGGCTCCTCTTGGCGGCTCCACGGCCGTGGGCCGGGGGATCCGCGGATCTGGCGCGGTGGCGCCAGATCCGGCCGGTTGACTGCGCGATCATGACCGAAACGCCTCCCACATCGAGTCCGAGTAGATGGGGTCGCAGGGTCGCGCCGCATCGGCGACGCACCGGCGCCAGTGTCGCCAGATGTGGCGACGGAACACGCCGCTAGTCCACGCGCCTGGAATCCATGACTGCGTCTCCTCGTCGCTGGTGAGTGAGCTACACTGGCGGTCTGGCCAGCTCGTGGCCGCCCGTCGCCGCCTGTCGCCGCTGTGCATGGCAATCGCATTGCTTTCCATTGCGTTGCAATGCTTTGCTTTGTATTGCATTGCATTGCATTGCTTTGCATTGCTTTGCATTGACCTGCATTGCTTTGCGATGCTCTACATTGCTCTGCATTGCTTTGCGTTGCTTTGCATTGCGTGGTGTTGCTCTGCGTCGCTTTGCTTTGCATCACATATACTGCACCACATCGGTTGTACCACATCGGTTGCACCACCTAGATTGCACGGCATAGGGTGCAAGGTATCATTGTTTGGGGTCCACGCTGGCTAACATGTGTTGATCCTCCGCAATTCTCGAAGCACTTCTGCCTGCGCCGAAGTCGTTGAAGCAGAGGTGTCCCTGCTGCGCAACCTCCATCCCTAAGTGATGGCATCGAGGGCGCAGGGCGAGAAAGCTCGCCACTCAGACGAAAATGCCCAGGGTGATAATGCCGGAGAAAAGAAAACAAGGCGATGCAGTACGGCCTTTCTGAGGGGCAACGGTAGGGGGGGGCACTGGCACAGGGGGGAAGCATCGACCTGGAATCGGCGATACATCGCCGACAGATACACGATAGGCCCCCGACAGCGAATTCGTACGTTCCTGGGCGGGGTGGGACTGTCACACCCCTATCAGCAATCAATGGGCGATTGGGGGTCGATGCATCCCCCCCTCTCCCGTTGCCCCTGACTGTCGTTGTGGAGGCTTACCAGCACCCCACCACCGGCTCGGCTGATCTCAGTTCAGAACTGGCTCAGGCCCACCTTGCCAGTCAACAGCTCCGCAGACAGGATGCCGATGGCCGCGAACATCGCGAAGCGACCGTTGTTAAGCTCCTTGTGGCGCATGTCCTCGTCGTAGCCGAAGATGTTGGACAGGCCCAGGGGGTCGCCGAAGTTGCCCACCTCCTTCTTCGGGTCCTGCGTCCACACCGCGAGCTCCATGGCGCCAGAGAACAGAAACAGCGCCACGAAACCGTACGTGCCCGGCGCCGTCGTCACCGCGCCCACGCCCGCAGGCACCGACTCGAAGCCCGGGAACTGGATGTACTGCTGCGCCACGAACCCCAGAGCCGCCATCATGGCCACGCGCCCGTGCTTGAGCTCCGCGGTGCGCAGGTTGCGGAAGCCCTCCTCTGGGGGGGACAACAGACACGGATACCGCTGCTCCCCCGACCTTTCCAGGGCTGCGCTCTGACCAGAAATCCGAGGAGACTCCAGCCGTGGTGACGGGGCTGCAGGACGAGTAGCGGTATCGGCATCTGTTCCTCCCCTGAGCCTCGTCGCCCACCTTGCTGAACCCGGCCGGGTCGAAGAAGCCCAGGGGGGCCATGGCGCCCAGCTGCGTCGCTGGGTCGAACGGTGGCGGCGCCGGCGGCGCCTCGGCGGCGCGCCGCGCCGCGCGCGCCGGCCGGCGCGCGGCGATCGCGAGTGCGGCCGCCGCGCCCACCGGGAGGGCAGCGCCCAGGCTGCCGCCGTTGGCCGCGCCTTTCTGCGCCGCAGTGGCCCTCAGCGCCGGCGGCGCGGTGGTCGGCGCGCGCTGGCTGACCTGGAGGCCCGCCAAAGCGGGGGAGGCGGCACCGACAAAGGTCAGGGACATCGTGCAACCTTGCCTAGCAGAGCGGTGCCAAGCACGCGGGGCAGTGCTGCAAGTGTATCGCCTGGAGCAAGCTTGAACCAAAACGGCCTGGAGGGTCTCGAAGATGGCCATTGATCGGTCCAAGATGCCCAGAGAAGGCGCAAGATACCTCCAAGAAGGCCCAAGATGGCCCCATCACGGCCCAAGATGGCCCATAGACGGCCCAAGTGGTCCCCAAGACGCCCCCGAGACGCCTCAAGAAGGCTCCAGATCACGCAAGAGGGCCTCGAGAGGCGAAATCAATGATGTTACTAAGATTATCCATGGTTTTCGAATTCTCAACTTCTCGGTCTGAAGAGCATCCGAAACGGCGCCAAAGCCCCCAAGACCAACCAAAGAAAGCACAAAAGGACCCCCAGGGCCCCAAGACGACCTCAGACGGCCAATAAAGCATCAAGACAGCCCAAAAAGGCTCCAAGAGGGCCCCAAGACGGCCCAGAGAGGGCCTCCAGACGGCCTCTGAAGGCGACAGACGGCAAGATCACCCTAAGACAACCCAAGAGAGTCCAACTATGAATGGCACCAGAAGGCCCAACAAAAATTCCAGAAGGCAAGAGACAACTCCCAGACAGCCCCAAGATTTGCTCAAGATGGCCCCAGAGTGCCCTGTCCCAGCGTTCCCCCATGTAGCCGTTCCCCGCCGCTCGACATTTCACGATTCACGACACAGGCGCTTCCACCAGGCACGGGGCGGCTGTCACTCGCCGTAGGCGTCTTCGATATCCGCCATGCCCCATTAGCCTGCCGGAGGGGTGAAAAGGGCGCCGAATTGCACAACAGAGAGAGGCTCTGGGGCCACGCGGAAACCTGGGTAAAACCGGGGAACCAACCAGAATCTGCACAACGCCCACCTCCAAGACGGCGAAGAGGGCCCAACATTGTCTCCAAGTCGGCGCAAAAAGGTCCAAGATGGCCTCCAAGATGCACCTTAGACCTTAGACGGTCACGATGGCCCCAACATAACCAGAGACGGTCCAAAACGCTCACTTGGGGGGTCTCTTGGATCGTCTTGGGTCGCATTCGGGGCCCACGCGAGAGGCCCAAGTCTGTGTAAACCTGTTGGGTTTTCAATGATCGTCCTCCCTCCCCCTCGTTCCTCCTGCGTCGCTGACGGCTTAACGTTACCTGCGGTTCCACGACGCGCGCCGGATCTTCCACGGCGTACCCAGATTGTTCTGGTGATCTCTGGCTCTGCCCAGAGCCATCCGAGGCTGCATCGGGTCATGCCAACCCGCATCGACTCATCTGGCCCGACTCCCGCAAGCCGATTGGAGAAGAGCCGCCAAGCCCTTGGAGGCTCCCTACAGTCGAGGTCGATTGGAGAGAACACGCGAGAGGGCACACGACCCTTCCGAGGGCCACACTGCCATAGGAATGTAGAAGGCATGGGTCACGAAACTCAGGACACAAGGGTACCCTTGATTTGGCCGGGCCGACCTGTTAATCACCCTCGACTGTATCCCCCTCCGCGTCCTTCGCTCTCCTCCTCCCGCCTCGCCCTGGCCTTGGGGTCGGGGGCGGGCGGCGTCCCAAACCGCCCCAAGAGTGGTCCAAGAGTACCTCTACATCAGGAACCCGGGAGGCCAAGGTCACCGAGGTTCCTCCGTTGGTTCCATGGTTCGCATTCTCGCCTGTCTGGGCCTCGGAGAGCCCAAGACGGCCCGAGAGGCACGATCGCCTCGAGACGGCCCAACAGAAGAGGCTCCCAAGAGGGCCCCAAGACGGTCCCAAGCAAGATGACCCAAAGGCGGGCCCCAGGACGGCCCAAGAGAGAGAGCCCCAGGACGGCCCAAGATAATGCACCTCAAGACTGCCACAGAGAGCCCCGAGGTGGCCCAAGAGAGCCCCGATACGCCCACCGAGAGACCCAAAGGCCCAGAGAGAGCGAGAGAGCCCCAAGAGGACCGCAGAGCGCCCCATTCCCCAATGCTCCACCAGTGGCTGCCCCAAGCCCGTGCGGGAACGAGAAGTCCACTAGCATGGCCGCACTTTTTCGTTACCGCATAACGCAGCCCAACCGCTTCTCTCCAGCTTCGGAAGAGCCTGGAGGACGACGAGTGCACGAGGGAGATGAGGAAGCCGAGGCCGAAGCGGAAGCAACGACGACCCGAAAGCGCAGAGACTACGGAAGGGCTGCTGAACTGAGGAACGCAACAAGAGGAACGAGGCCCCTTTCTGGCCCCCAAGAATCTAAGAAGCGCCTGCGTGCACGAGGAGTGATAGAGCACCGGCCATGAGACGGAGCTCAAGGAACAGCGAACCCCCTCCGAACTCAAAACGGTCCTCATATTTCGGCGTCTTGGCTGCAGCATGGCCGCACGTTGGCTCGACGTTTCCGCCACGCCGCGCTTCCACAGGGGGGCAGTGGGCGGCGGTGACGTCTGCCGCAGGCGCCCTCGACCCGCCGCCCCCGTAGCCTGCGGAGGGGCACTGGCGTGCTGGCCGCTGCGGCTCCTCTTGGCGGCTCCACGGCCGTGGGCCGGGGGATCCGCGGATCTGGCGCGGTGGCGCCAGATCCGGCCGGTTGACTGCGCGATCATGACCGAAACGCCTCCCACATCGAGTCCGAGTAGATGGGGTCGCAGGGTCGCGCCGCATCGGCGACGCACCGGCGCCAGTGTCGCCAGATGTGGCGACGGAACACGCCGCTAGTCCACGCGCCTGGAATCCATGACTGCGTCTCCTCGCCGCTGTTGAGTGAGCTACACTGGCGGTCTGGCCAGCTCGTGGCCGCCCGTCGCCGCCTGTCGCCGCTGTGCATGGCAATCGCATTGCTTTCCATTGCTTTGCAATGCTTTGCTTTGCATTGCATTGCACTGCATTGCTTTGAATTGCTTCGCGATGCTCTACATTGCTCTGCATTGCTTTGCGTTGCTTTGCATTGCGGGGTGTTGCTCTGCGTCGCTTTGCTTTGCATTGCGTATACGGCACCACATCGGTTGTATCACATCGGTTGCCCCACCTAGATTGCACGGCATAGAGTGCAAGGTATCATTGTTTGGGGTCCACGCTGGCTAACATGTGTTGATCCTCCGAAATTCTCGAAGCACTTCTGCCTGCGCCGAAGTCGTTGAAGCAGAGGTGTCCCTGCTGCGCAATTTCCATCCCTAAGTGATGGCATCGAGGGCGCAGGGCGAGAAAACTCGCCACTCAGACGAAAATTCCCGGGGTGATAATGCCGGAGAAAAGAAAACAAGGCGATGCAATACTGCTTTTCTGAGGGGCAACGGAAGGGGGGGGACTGGCACAGGAGGGAAGCATCGACCTGGAATCGGCGATACATCGCATACAGATACACGATAGGCCCCCGACAGCGAATTCGTACGTTCCTGGGCGGGGTGGGACTGTCACACCCCTATCAGCAATCAATGGGCGATTGGGGGTCGATGCATCCCCCTCCCGTTGCCCCTGACTGTCGTTGTGGAGGCTTACCAGCACCCCACCACCGGCTCGGCTGATCTCAGTTCAGAACTGGCTCAGGCCCACCTTGCCAGTCAACAGCTCCGCAGACAGGATGCCGATGGCCGCGAACATCGCGAAGCGACCGTTGTTAAGCTCCTTGTGGCGCATGTCCTCGTCGTAGCCGAAGATGTTGGACAGGCCCAGGGGGTCGCCGAAGTTGCCCACCTCCTTCTTCGGGTCCTGCGTCCACACCGCGAGCTCCATGGCGCCAGAGAACAGAAACAGCGCCACGAAACCGTACGTGCCCGGCGCCGTCGTCACCGCGCCCACGCCCGCAGGCACCGACTCGAAGCCCGGGAACTGGATGTACTGCTGCGCCACGAACCCCAGAGCCGCCATCATGGCCACGCGCCCGTGCTTGAGCTCCGCGGTGCGCAGGTTGCGGAAGCCCTCCTCTGGGGGGGACAACAAACACGGATACCGCTGCTCCTCCGACCTTTCCAGGGCTGCGCTCTGACCAGAAATCCGAGGAGACTCCAGCCGTGGTCACGGGGCTGCAGGACGAGTAGCGGTATCGGCATATGTTCCTCCCCTGAGCCTCGTCGCCCACCTTGCTGAACCCGGCCGGGTCGAAGAAGCCCAGGGGGGCCATGGCGCCCAGCTGCGTCGCTGGGTCGAACGGCGGCGGCGCCGGCGGCGCCTCGGCGGCGCGCCGCGCCGCGCGCGCCGGCCGGCGCGCGGCGACCGCGAGTGCGGCCGCCGCACCCACCGGGAGGGCAGCGCCCAGGCTGCCGCCGTTGGCCGCGCCTTTCTGCGCCGCGGTGGCCCTCAGCGCCGGCGGCGCGGTGGTCGGCGCGCGCTGGCTGACCTGGAGGCCCGCCGAAGCGGGGGAGGCGGCACCGACAAAGGTCAGGGACATCGTGCAACCGTGCCTAGCAGAGCGGTGCCAAGCACGCGGGGCAGCGTCGCCTCGAACAAACTTGAACCAAAACGGCCCTGAGGGTCTCGAAGATTGCCATTGATCGGTCCAAGATGGCCCAAGTAAGGTGCAAGATACCTCCAAGAAGGCCCAAGATGGCCTCATCACGGCCCAAGATGGCCTCAAGACGGCCCAAGAGGTCCCCAAGACGCCCCAAGAAGACTCCAGGTCACCCAAGAGGCCCTCGAGAGGCGAAATTAATGATGTTCTTAAGATTTTCCAATGGGTTTGGAATTTTCAACTTTCGGTGTCAAAAGCATCCGGGACGGCGCCAATGCCGTCAAGACCAACACGAGACGGCACAGAAGGACCTCCAGGGCCCCGAGACGACCTCAGACGGCCAAGAGAGCACTAAGACAGCCCAAAAGCGCTCCAAGTGGGCCCCAAGACGGCCCAGAGAGGGTCTCAAGACGGCCTCTGAAGACGACAGACGCCAAGATCACCCCAAGACAGCCCAAGAGAGCCCCACTTTGGTGGGCACTAGAAGGCCCCCAGAAAAGTCCAGAAGGCATGAGACAAATCCTAGACAACCCCACTGTTGGCTCAAATGCCCTTTTCCAGCGTTCCCCTAGCGGTTTCCCGCCGCTCGACATTTCACGATTCACGACACAGGTGCTTCCAACTAGCACGGGTCGGCTGTCACTCGCCGTAGGCATCTTGGATACCCGCCGCCCCATTAGCCTGCCGGAGGGGTGAAAGGGGCACCGAATTGCACAACAATGAAAAACTCCGGGGCCACACGGAAACCTGTAAAACCGGAAAACCAACCAGAATCTGCACAACGCCCATCTCCCAGACGGCAACGAGGGCCCAATATTTCCTCCAAGTCGGCGCAAAACGGTCCAACATGGCCTCCAAGATGCATCTTAGACGGTCAAGGTGGTCCCAACAGAACCCAAGATGGTCCAACATGCTCGCTCAGGGGTCTCTTGGCTCGCCTACGGGGTATTCGAGGCCCGCGCGAGGTGCCCAAATCTGTGTAAAACCCTTGGGTTTCAATGATCGTCGGATTCTCCCATGCTCGTTCCGTCCTCCGAGCGTCCACGGCGGCCCGCAGAGGCCCTCAAGACCAGCCCAGGGCGACCCAACAAGGGCCCCGAGAGGACCCCAAGACGGCCCAAGAAACTTCATGCGGGACCGTCTTGGGCCACCCTGAGCCGTCTTGGAGGCCATCTTGGCCGTCTTGGAGGATTACGGTTGGTATTCTGGCCCATGCTGGCCCAACAGCGCCCTCAGACGGCCCGACGGGGATCCAAGATGGCCCAGAAGGCCCCAAGAAACTCCAAAGGATGCCCAACATGACACGACACGAGCCCCAACCCAGGACGGCCCCCGAGGGCCTCTCCCAGACCAATTCCAAGTACCGTTCGTAACGTCTTTCGCACAGGCTGTCGGCCCCGTGCCCTGCCTTTCCGCAAGGGCAGGGGGCGGCGGTGCGGCGGTGACTCGCCGAAGGCGTCTTCGATTGGTTGAAGCACATGTTCAACATCTGACGGCACGTGCTGTTTTAAATGTTGCCCTGGCTGGGGCCGACCTCCAGGGCTCGCCAGAATCATGCTGGGGGCTGGGGGACCCTTCAGGAAACACCAGCGAAAACACTCTGGTTGGAAGACCACGTGTGCTGCCTCTCTCTCTGGAGGCCTCCCAAATGGGGCCAGAAAGTACAGGGTCGGTGTGTCGCGCCACATCGCCGATGCATCACCGATGCAACTGCGACGTCTGGATGGAGACAATCGGACCCCCAGATCAGGCCACATCGCCGATTCGTCGGCGATGCGACGCGACCCTTCAACCCCATCTACTCCGTGGCCCATTGAATCGCCGATGCATCAGCGATGCGGCGCGACCCTCCAATACCATCTATTCCGGGGCCTCATTTGGGAGGTCCAGACTGTCTCGCTCACGCGTTGGCTAAGACGAGGCCAGGACCAGCACAGGGTTGGACTGGAAATCTGGCGTCTCTGGACAATGCTCGGGCGACACTGCCGTTCCAGAGTGCCCTGCAACGCTCTGAGAGCGTCCCAGAACGCTCTGGGGCGGCGGATCCGTCCTGGGCCAGCCCGATTGGCTCTCACTAGAAGAACACGAACTGCATAAACATCATGTTTCGGAACTCCGCGCGGATTGGAGCGCAGATCCAAGCCATCCGCGCGGAACTCCGACAGTCTATGTTTCTGCAGGTTCCCAACCTTCGACTCACGCGCTTGCTTCACTCTCAATGAGCACGGGTACGCTGAACTCTCTCCCACACTCGGGGATGGACAGATCCCCCTTTAGCAAACCGTGGTTTAGTGAGAACAACCTGAGGCCCAAACCTGGCGGGCGCAGGCCTGGAAAATGACGGCCGCGGCGCCCTCTCGAGAACCGAAAACGGACAATTCACTAATCGACGTGTCACTGTTGGGGGTTCTGCCCAGCCCCGACACACGCCCTGAGCATCCGATGTCTTGACTCGTTCCAGCGGGATCCCTGGGAGTCCAGACCCTTTTCCCAGGGCCGCCTCTGCATCCTGAGCAGTCGCTGTTTGGCGGCCCCAGAGCCTGGCGAGGTTCCCCAGAGGCCGAAGATTTGGAATCATCTCCCCATGCAATGTTTCAATGCGCTGGCTGGGCGCCCACCAGCTGGCGCAGAGACCGCCGAGCCCGGGCGACTGTCGCACGCACGTCGCAGCGTGTTTCGCCATGTCCAGGCCTATTTGTCCAAGCCAGATCCTGGCAAACACGTCGCCTGCACATGCCCGTCGGCTGCCGGAGCTTCTTGCGCGACCTGACCTTGCTCTGTATTTGTTTTCCGCATGTGCCCTATGTGTTGGACGCCCGAAGTTGGTACGAGGAAAGTGGGCACAATGCCCATCAACACATGTTGTCCGAAAACGACAACGGCCCCTGTTGGGCAGGCGGCCGTCTGTCTCAAATGGACAACGACCTCGGCGACGCCGCTAACGAACCTTGTTCAGAATGAACAAGAACTGCTGTTGGACTGTCTGTTTCCGTACTCATCTCGATCGTCCCGATGCCGCCCGCCGTGGGCATACAAGCCTGACCTGACCTGGTCCTGAATATCTCGGGGTACGGTACATATCGGACCTAAGACTGGGGCCACGACGTGGCCGCTGGCGAAGAGAAGACGAGAGCGGGCACGCCGCGGCGTAGCGTCCTAGCTTCCTGCCGGCCTCTGGCCCGTCCCAGCCGTACCGGATGCCCACGTGCATCCAGGTCTTGTCCCTGCGCGAACGAGTGAATAGACAAGCGCGGACCACTACTTGAAAAGTAAGTACGTACCCGCAAATTGCCTGGATCCGCCGCGCTGGCCTTACGATCCGTTACATCGAAGTACACATGTTTGTTTCGAACGTCTCGAATAGGCACTTTGCGAGTAGCGGAACGCGCTCTGTGAGTGAATGCGGGCCGGGTGTCGAAGCACAGGGGCGGTGATGCAGCACGATTTGACAATAAAAGAAAAGTTTAACATAAACTGTTGCAGAATTGGGGGCGCCTGTCCTAGGGCGGCCGGGAAGTCTGTACTCCTACTGTGGCAGATGGGAGGGTATAAATTTCCCAGCCGCCCAGGCACCCCCGATCACGGACAAACATTGTGTTATACAATCCTTCACACGCTAACGCGGAAAGGGGGCCAGGTAGTAGATGGCGGGTTGCTGTCGAAACGTGGCGGGTCAAGAGCACGAGCCCCCTCGCGGAAGGCCCACTGCCGCATGGAGACAGTCGAAAAAGAAGAGCGCTCCAAGGTGGACGGTCTGAACACGAACAACAATCTGTACATAAACATACGTTTCCTGAGTCTCGCGTTGATCTTTTGGATCGGCGCTGGACCACCCTCCCTGGTGCACGGAGCGCACCAAAGGCGGCGGGCGCCGGAGGCGCCGCCAGGGGGGCCCAGCGCCGACCCAACAAACCCGAACGAATCTCCGAACACTCCTGTTCATACCGTTGTCTTTGTTTCTTCGACACTCCGTTCTGAGGACCTTCCTGGAGCTACTCGCTCCACTCATGCATCGATGCTGCGTCGAAAGTCCGTCGACTTGAGTCGAGACTGAGTCGAACTTGAGTCGAACTAGAACTGAACCAGAACCAACCAAATCCGCCAGGCGGGCCCGCAAAAAGAAACATCCGAATCAAGGGCTGATCCCTCGTGCCAAAGGAATATTATCCGTAGAGCCTGGTGCAGAGCTGCCGAGCGCTTGGTTAGCTAGCCTCCTGGCTGGCGGCTGCTGTACCCTTTGGGGGTCGCTCCGCCAGCCCTTGGGCCAGCCTAGCAAGGTAGAGCCGTCCAGTCCTCGTAGCTGGACAACACTAGTTGAGGAGCTTCCCTTCAGGGGGAGCCCAAGCTCCCACAAATCACGCGGGCGGCAACCATTTCCCGTTTCCCGCCCAGTACCCCCCCCCCCCTCGCCGAACCACCCGAGCCAGACGAGCTGGAAGAGGAGGAGGGCGCGGATCGCAAAGTTGGGTGGTAGCTGCAGCGAATCAGCTGCACGCGCGCCACGATGGGCCCTCTCGGGCGCGCCTGGCGCGCCGAGAGGGGCGCCATGGCATCGGGCAGGGCAGGAGCTGCATGCCGCAAATGCCGTTCAGACCCGTCGGCACCGCATCGGAAAAGTCGGATCGGATCAGCGTCGTTCCAGAAAACCCAATGGACGGTGTTCGGCCAATTTCGGCCCCCTGAGGCCCTTATTGGACCCCGGGATTGTCAAGAGACGGCACAAGATGAAAAACTAGTCCCAGGGGAAGGGCTCCAGCCCTCTGGAGGGCCTCATTGTGAAAAACGATGACGTCGGATGTCTGGGTGCATCGAACTGCGCTAACTTGGCTTCGACCCGAAGCTGGCCGCGCCAGGGCGCGCCACAGCGCCACGACTGAGCCCTGAGCCTATCCGCCCCCCCTGACGTTTCCCCTGAATGCGAGGCCCCGTCAATTCCCAAAGCTGCCTCTTTTGGGGGGCCCAAAAATCCGCCGGCCCCCTTGTGGGGCCACCAGGCTGTAGGCGCGGGTTCGCAGTTTCCAGTGCCAGTTGTAGCTTGTAGTTTCCAGTGTTACAGTTCTGCTTCTTGCTGGTTACTGTGACTAATTGACTGACCGCGCGAGGGGGGGGGAGGCCCAAACAAGACTTTTAGCACCCCCTGGGCGCGTTGTCTGAATTGCTGGGGGGGCTCGAAATCGACACCCCTCACGCAGATCCGCGGGGTCAGGGTCCAAAAATACAAAGGATTTGCAACATTTCTGAAATTCGGTGCCACCCCTCACGCAGATCCGCGGGGTCAGGGTCCAAAAACACATGGGATTTGCCACATGTTTGAAATTCGGTGCCACCCCTCACGCAGATCCGCGGGGTCAGAGTCCAAAAACACAGGGGATTTGCCACATTTCTGAAATTCGGTGCCACCCCTCACGCAGATCCGCGGGGTCAGGTTCCAAAAACACAAGGGATTTGCTACATTTCTGAAATTCGGTGCCACCCTCACGCAGATCCGCGGGGTCAGGGTTCCAAAAACACAGGGGATTTGCCACATTTCTGAAATTCGGTGCCACCCCTCACGCAGATCCGCGGGGTCAGGGTCCAAAAACACAGGGGATTTGCCACATTTCTGAAATTCGGTGCCACCCCTCACGCAGATCCGCGGGGTCAGGGTCCAAAAACACAGGGATTTGCCACATTTCTGAAATTCGGTGCCACCCCTCACGCAGATCCGCGGGGTCAGGGTGGGGATTTGCCACATTTCTGAAATTCGGTGCCACCCCTCACGCAGATCCGCGGGGTCAGGGTGGGATTTGCCACATTTCTGAAATTCGGTGCCACCCCTCACGCACATCCATCGCAAGGCGTGGTAACCCAAACTGCGAGTACTCCCTCGGCCCTTTAATCCCAAGGTGTGGTAACCAAGCTCGTAAACCATACACGTCTTACCAATCGCCCTGTGTGGTAACCCCTCTTGTGATCAGTTGGTTTTGCCGATTGCGAATCGGCCTCGCATGAAGTTCCGATACTGCTGCACGACAGCGCCAAAGCCTCATGACTTAGCTCTTCCATGGCCCATTCTCCGAGAGAGGGGGCCGGCGGCAGGGGGCGAAGCCCTTACGGATATACACCACCACCACCTCCCTCACCCCCTCCCTCTCCCAGAAGAGAAAGGGAAGATGAGGGTAGAGGAGAGAGGAGAAATCGACGTGGTGGTGGTGGTGCATATTCTCTGGGCCCCCACCTTCTCCCAGAAGGGAAGCCACTTCACCACCAGCGCGAAGAACCAGGGGGGGAGGTCCCCCTGGTGGTGTGCTCGCCCCTGCCCCCGCTCGGGGCATCCCCGGCCTCCGCCTCCGGGAGGCACCGTGGACCTCCTCGCTGGAGGCGGCCCCCCTGCTGGTGGTGTCGCGTCGCCCATCTCCGAACGGGACTCATCGGCGGCCACATCCCCGACTTTGTAGAGCTCCGGACTGGACAGGTCGGGGTCCCAACAAAGGCATATTCGAGGGGGGCATCCATCCTCGATGCTAAGGGGTTTGTCCGAATAGCCCCCTGGGGGTGCGTCCCCCGGCCCCCTCTCTTCTGAGCGGCCCAACCTTTAGGGGGGATCCTCCGGGGATCGGTAGCGAGAAAAACCAGCTGCTCTGGGCAGTCCAGGCCGTGCCGAGAGCCCACGGGCATACCGCCCGCATGGAGACATCGCCTCGTGGGCGCCCCGCGCGCTGGGCTGCTCCGTCGAGATTTCGCCTGGGGCCTGGCTGGTGCCCGCTCGTGGCGCCGCTACCCGGGTGCCGAGGCCCCGCCCCTGACGCGGGCGCGCGCCCCGCGCCGCGCGGCTCGCCACCTGTCTTCGCGCTCTCGCGTGGCCTCTCCTGAGACGAAGTCGGGACGGGGACGGAGTCAGAGGATCCTCCAGATGCTTTGATATACCGCACCCTCCCCGCCCCAGTCATCTTCCACCGCCCGGGGCCACGGTCAGTATACACAAAATGCGCCCCAGGGGAGGCCTTTTTGTATACCGCACACACGATCAAGACCCTCGCCCACCCCCTAAGGCTTTTGGGTATAGTACATCAATCCCTAGTGCGGAGTGAATAAATCGAGGATATCACAGATGTCTTGGGCGCCGCGGCCTTCTCAGAGCGTTCCGGAGCGCTCTGAGAGCGTTCCGGAACGCTCTGGAACGCACTTAGCCCCGTCCGATCACCCTTCCTTGAGAGACGGGCGGCCCTCTCTTCGGCCAACACCTCCAAGAAGACGAGAGCAGCCGCGAGAACATGAGTAGTCGAGTTCGATCCGAGGGAATGCGAGAGAACACAAGACTCATCCGAAGGCACCATGGCTTCCAAACCGGGGCACCCTTGCCCCGGGAATGTAGTGTGCACGAGACGCCATACACAGGACGCAAGGGCACCCTTGCTTCGGAAGCGTCGACCCACAAAACACAACTCGACTGTACATGTTCGGAGCGCCCAAGCTGCTCTCTCTCTCTCTCTCTCTCTTCATTCTCTATGTGTTTCCCGGACGCACCGCCCCCTTCGCTGCACTCGCCTTCCAAGTCATGTACCCGACATGAGCGAACAAGCGACTGTTGAAACACACTCACACTTCAAACATGGGCACTGAGCCGCCCCGCCCCGTCGATCAAACTATGACTGCGGAAAGAAGGCACTGGAGGTGCCTGCTTTGTTTGAACTCGTCGAACAGGATATTCACATCCCGCCTGATCGCGAGGTCGAGAGCCGCATGCATACATAGAACGCACAGGCTCACGTGCATGCAAGACCACAATCACAAATACACACGCACGCACCTACGCATGCACAAACGGATGCATGGCCACGATCATCCAACAAAATACCTGAATTTATGATGGCACAGCCTTCGGTGGGGCTCCCTGTGGGGCCACGAAACGATGTACTAGTCCCACCAGCCCTTTGGGCGTGAGTGGTTTAGAGAGCTCTCTCTGTTCTCAACCCCCCTACTTCCCCTTCGGGGAGGGGTTTACCCCTCCCCCTACCCCCTCCCCCTGGGCCTGGAGAGGGCGCCTCGCGGGTGGTCAGAGGGGTCTTTTTCGACTCCTGGGAGGGCTAAAAAACGACACCCCTCACGAGGATTCTGGCCCCGACGGGGGGAGGCAGAAAAAAACCCTCTCCTCATCTGTGATCGATCCCCCGACAGATGGCCCCATGAAGCGCCCCGGAGGCACCAAGAGGCCCCAAGATGGCCCCAAGAGGCCCCCAGGAGGCCCCCAAGAGGCCTCCAAGAGGCCCCCAAGATGCCCCCAAGAGGCCCCCGAGAGGCCCCAAGAGGCTCCCCCGAGGCACCCAAGACGCTCCTGGAAGCCCCTGGGGCCGCCAAGAGGCCCCCAAGACGCCCCAAACGGCCTCCAAGAGGCTCCCAAGAGGCCCGAAGAGGCTCCCCCAAGGCACCCAAGACGCTCCTAGAAGCCCCTGGGGCCGCCAAGAGGCCCCCAAGACGCCCCAAAAGGGGACGAGGTGCCCGAACGCCTCACGCCACGAGGAGCCCGAACGACTCACACCAGGACGAGGGGCCCGAACGACTCACACCACGAAGAGCCCGAACGACTCACACCAGAAGGAGGGGCCCGAACGACTCACACCAGGACGAGGCGCCCGAACGACTCACACCACGAAGCCCGAACGACTCACACCACCCCGAACGACTCACACCAGGAGAAACCCCAAACGACTCAAACCACGAGGAGCGCTTTCTCTCCCTCCTCCTCCGCCTCGTCCTTCTCCCGCTCCCACCACAAGGAGGATGTACAAGGCGGCGGGAAGAAGGAGGAACAGGGAAGATATGCGGGGGCAGGCGGAAACACGCCTGAAAAACACGACAGTCGGCATGCTTCGCAAGAGTTGCTGTTTTGAGATGGGCTGGTGGGGATACGCGAAGCGTAAAGAATTAGGTGAAACGCAGGGAGGAAGGAGGGGGAGGAGAGAGGAGGGGTATGAGGAGGGAGGAAGGAGGCGGGAGGAGGAGAACGCGGGGACCGTCTCTTCAAAACGAGGACCCAACACCACAGGATGATTGGGAAAAAAACATCGACCTGGAGTTGGCGATACATCACCACTAGATCGGCGATACGCCCCGATTGCGAAACCGCATGGTCCTGGGCGGGGATGGGCTATCAGATCCCTATCAGCGATCAATGGGCGATTGGAAAGGGGCCCATGGGGACACACACATAAACCACCACACGTTATAGTTTTCCCCATATGTTCCGTACTTTCTGGATGTTCCTCTGCCCCTCCATTGCCTGCATTCCCCCAAATTCTCATGGACATCAGCGTGCCTGTGGGATTGTGCTGATGTGTTCATCCTGGGATTGGTGGTCGCTACATTGCCCCCTGAGCCTACCCCCCTACCCATCGGTCGGAAGAAGTCGGTAAAAACATAAAGTAGGAAAGCGTTGGAAATAGTTAGGGCTTCCGCCCGGCACCTGAATAGAAAGAAAACCGGACTGACACCATCAAGCACAACTTCCTGGGCGATCCAGGATCGAAGAGTGGGAAAGACGGACAAACCCGAAGACGGCGCGACCAGAAGGCAGAGGCAGATCTGGGCCTGGGACCCCCTACCCCTCGGGATCCCATCGGCGACTCCCCTGCCCTACCCATCGTAGGACCCGAGCGCGGTTGCGAGGATGTCCCGAGCGACGGGGGGGGACCAGCACCACGAGGGTTGTCTAAAAGCGACAGCGGCCGCTGTTGGGCAGGCGGCCTTGCGGCTCAAATGGACAACGCCCGCAGCAACACCGACAGCGAGTCCTCTTCACATGAACAGGGACTGCTGTCGGTCTCCATACCGATTCTCTCCGCAACCATTTGAATCCTACCGGTCCTCGATCCGACAGCGGAGATCGTTAACAGACGGCCCGGTTCAGGCCACTGGTGGCCGTCAGCCCCGAGGCGCCCAGCGCCAGCATTGCCGCAGCCTCCGCGACGGCGCAGAGGAGCACGGGCCAAGAACACCGAGAGAGCAGGATCCCGATCATGGGGATACAGCTGGGGTTGGCTGGACAGGATACACCAGAGGACACAAGACCCTTCTGCTGGCCACACTGCCGCAGGAGTGCGGAGGGCATGGTTCGCGAAACAGAGGACATAAGGGTACCCTTGATTCTGCAGGGTCGACCTACTGATCAGCCTCGACTGCTAGACATGTCTCAGGCTGGTGAACGTCTCCCGCCCACGTCGGGCATCTGCTAACCTGGGTCAATCCTAGGCCCAGGTCAGTCAGGCCTTGTAGGATCCTGCGAAATCCTGCAAAATATTGCGGAATCCTGAGCCCAAACACAAGTCAGTGCAGCCCTGGCCCTGCAGGATCCTGCAAAATCCGGCGCTCTGACTGACTCCCGTTTGCCCCGCCCACGACTCGTGCCGCCGCTGGGTGGGCGCGAACGGGGAGGAGAGAGCTCCCTCTGGGCGAGGGGCCCCCCACCCAGACCCTTGGAGCGCAATGCGAGAGAATCAGGGCGCTCGGACGTCCATTCCCCGTGCATGTTTCGGTTTCGCGCGTGTATTTTTCGCACGATGACTTCAAATGCTCCTCGCCGAGAAGAACCGGACACTTCCGAGCGATGCCAGGGAGAAGATCACTCGACGGTGGAGAACCCGATCAGAAAGCGCAGGAGGTGCTCCCTGAAAGCTGGAGATGCTCTTGGCCCTGGAGAGCCGGATGTGCGCCACCGTCGATTACAGTAGGTCGTTTGAGCAACTGTCGTTGGCAACTCCTCCTCCTCCTCCTCCTCCTCTCCTCCTCCTCCTCCTCCTCCTCCTCCTCCTTTGAGCGCTTGCCGTTGGCAACACCTCTGCGTGCCGAGGCCCGCTGCCGCCACGCACTCCCTCTGCGTGCCGCCGCCGCTCGGGCACGTCCCCTGCACATGGCGGCGGGCGTCGGCACGCAGAGCGCGATGGTCGTTGCTGCGAGTCCGAACGGTCCTCGGGCCCCCCGGCAGACGGTAGAGATGGACCCATAGACGAGGAGGGAGGAGGAGGAGGAGGAGGAGGAGGAGGAGGAGGAGGAGGAGGAGGAGGAGGAGGAGGAGGAGGAGGAGGGAGGAGGAGGAGGAGGAGGAGGAGGAGGAGGGAAAAGGAGGAGGAGGAGGAGGAGGAGGGAGGAGGAGCAGGAGGGATGAGATTTATTTTTAAGTCTGTACAGTGGAGGCCAGTGCACAAAGAACCTTCCACAAGAAACCCAACCCTGAGACCCCAGGACGACCATCGATTTTTGGTACGGGAACGTCACGCTCCCCATAGCAAAACCATCGAAAGCCAAGAAACCCAGGGCACCCTGGAGGCAAGCAGGGTGTTTCTTGGCATGGGCCTCCACTGTAGATCTGTCCCTATAAAATACACATGTTTGGCCGCCCAGGGGCCCAAACATGTCCATGTCCACCGCCTGCCGAGAAACCCAACGATCGATCACCCAGGCGGTGGTTATGGATAGTCGAGGCAGGCGAGTTCCGACAACAGCAACTCAACATCTGCCCCCAGACCCCTCCCAGGGTCCACAACCATCAATTGTTCGACGAACGTCCAGCCGTGGCGGCGAGGGGGGTCTCCGAAGGACAGCTACCGTCTTCTCAACACACTCCACTCTGAGATAAACCCCCACCTTGGCATTGTCTCGCCGGCACGCGGCCCGCCAAGAACAAAGCCTCGCCGCCGACCGCGACCAGCGACCGGCGACGACGACGACGACGACGGCGACGACGACGAGGACGACGACGACGACGACGACGACGACGACGACGGCGGCGGCGGCGGCGGCGACGGCGGCGGCGGCGGCGGCGGCTGCCCGCCGCCAGCACACGCCAAACACCCCCGTCGCGCCTCGCGTCCGCGGGGTCGAAGAAGCCACCGATCTTCTCCTCCACCGCGGGCGACGCACGCACGGGCAGGCCCGCGTCGTGGCGACGTCGGCGCCGCCAAGGACGGTCCAGTGCCAATCCAAGAAGCCCGCGAGGCGCCGCGAAGGCTAATGCTATGCTGATGTTTCTTCGAACCACAATGGCTTGCCATCGCTCTGACGTACTTCCCCCGCCGTGCACTGTTTGATGTCGTGCGTACCTTTTTGTCGAGATGGTTGCAGATGCTCCAGACTTCCTGGCGCTGGCGTCGCCGAGAGACATGCACACGTCCGAGCGATGCAAAAGGGATCAAGAGGGCATGTGGCAAGCTGGTGGACGTCTTCCGCCCACGGCTCCGGTCGCCGCCAGGTGGGCGCGAGCAGGTAGGCGAGGGTCCCCACCGTGAAAAACCGGGCAGGGGACCCCTCGCCGATAGCTCCAGGTCCCAGGGAGGTGCCCCGGACGAACTGCACTCAACAGCGGAGAGCCCAACCACGAAGGTGACAAAAGTAAAGGGTACTCCACGAAGGTTCAGGGCGGGTGTCCTGGGGGCTGTTTCCAGCCTCCTTGGGGGCACAGGACGAAGGCAGGCTGAAGACAGAGTCGGATCGAGATGAGTCTGGAATCCTCGCCGAGGACGACGGTTCAGGGAGAGGGGGGTTTCGAACCCCCCCCAGAACCCCGGGCCGGCGCCTGCGCCGGTGGCGGCTGGCGGCGGCGGCGGGGAGCGTCGACGAGGACGAGGACGAGGACGAGGACGACGAAGACGGCGACTACGACCACGACGACGACGACGACGACCACGACCACGACCACGACGACGACGACGACGAAGACCAGGACCACGACGACGACGACGACGAAGGGGAGACTGCGCGGGTGCTGCCAGTGACCTCCTCCCTGCCGAGGGCAGCGACCGGTTTTCCTCCTCGTCCTCCCCAGATCTACACCCTCTCCTCTCGGGGCGGGCGAAAAAGAAAGCCTCGCAGAGCGGGGGGGTCGCGAATCCGCTACGTGCAGCTGGTTTTCTGGGCGCCTCCCGGCGCCGAGGCGGCCTGTCATCGAGACAAGTGACCAGCGGCGGGGCCGCAACCAGCTCAGCAGCTTTCAAACCAACCGCCATTCCCGATCCCCCCTATTCGTTTGACCCGCGTGGTCCTCGTCGCCTGCTTTTTGAGCATTGGGCCTCTGGCAGCCGCTCGGGACGATCCAGGCACCCCGAGAACGCTCTCGGCGAGTCGCAGCTGGCTGAAGAGCACCCCGAGGCTAGAAAAACGCAGAGAGCCGACGAACACGTCCTCCCCCTCGGCATGAGAGAAGCGGGTCCTGAGGGAAACGGGTCCTGGACCCTGACATACTTCGGCGGCGAGCGAGGGGTGGAAATATGAAGGAGAAGGCTGTCTCAGAAGACGGCGGAATTTCTCGGAAGGCCGCCGGCCTTCTGGGGGGTTTTCTGTGTCTTCGGGGAAGGCTTAGAAAACTTCTCAGAAGGCTGGGAGACTTCCGAGTATTCTGAAAAGGCACGCCCATTCTCACTTCACACCAACGCTCGCCGCCGAAAATTCCCCCAGGACCAGTTCTTCATCCAGAGTCGTTTTCAAAACGTCCTGTGGCCTGTGGAGGGCCCCTGGAGCCCGAAAACTGCGGACAGCTGGGCCCGTTTCCCTCGGGACCCGTTCGCTTCATGGCGACCTCTCCTTCCTCGCCTCCTCATCCCCCCTCCTGCGGGTGCCCTCTCGCTCTTCCTCCCCCTCCTCCTCCTGTTCGATCTTAGGTTGCCGCGGGAATGTTCGAAACCCTACCAATCCGCTAGGAAGGGGCACAAGATTTCGCCCACGGCAATCTCGGCCCTGACTCTCACCCCCAGCCCAATGAGAGGAAGGCAGGCTTCAGAGCTGTTGATGCGACTGCTTGCATGTTGCTCTCTCTTTCTCTCGTTCTCTCTCTCTCTCTTGCATGTGTGATGATAGTAATATGCAGTTCACTGACTGCGTCTAACAACGAGTGACTGGAATACATCAGCCATGCGATGACGGACTGGCACATAACACTACTTAGTGGAACACAGACATGGGCAGGAGAAGAGGAACATCAACACACCACTGGGCACTGATCTTTGGAGAGAGAAAGAGGAGACTTGTGACGAGAGCATGCGGGACAACGGTTCTAGTATCCAACAGTATCCCTAGAGAAGCGCTCCACTTGACCTTAAAACCACCGACCAGCATCCAGGGTAGAGAGCAGCAGGCATTCGAACCAAATCGAAAACAAACGACTGTTCGTTGTTTGACCGTCCACTACGCACCGACGAACGTAAAGAACTACCCAGAGGTAGGAATTATTATCACAGACCAGGTAGAACTTGTATGTGATAGGCAGGCGAGAAGAATCACACGAGTTATCGGGAAAAGATCAACAGCCAACTTGGAATACTCAGAGCTGCAGACGGAGTCATTATAGGGAAGCGTCAAGCAACACGACTGGGAAAGCGGACAGACAAGTCGAGAACGCGAACGGACCAGTGTTTCGAAAGTTGTGCAAAACAGATGGGCTATCTATCGCCTCAACGTTTTCGACACGGGACCCACCTACTATGAAACGAAAGGCACAAGCAACACGATAGACCATGTCGCCATCCGAACAACAACACACCCGCTTGTGACGGTATTTGTGAAGCTTAGGAAAACTGCCAAACAACTCCAGCATACTAAAGCCAGGGGACACAGAGACCCCATCCCAGTGGGACGGGTGCTACCAGTCACCGACAGATCGAGCAACAGGTGTAGAAAAAAAAGAACTGATCACGCGCTGGACAGAGATCGGCGAATGGAATGCCTGCGACGAGGAACGAAGAGGCCATACTTTTTTCGAAGCCATAGAAGGAAGGGTGGAGGAAGTAGAGGAGGAGAGGCGGCAGGAGAGCCCAGAGGAGAGCACCCCAGAATTTGCACTGCATGTGTGGAGCGACGCTGCGCGAACCGCCCTGAACGACTGCTTCCGACAAGGTAAGCGAGAACCGCAGCGAGGCAGAGGAAGAGGTGAAGAAACACAGGATCGCTGTGTTGCAGGGGAGGAGAGAACTGAGGAAAGAGATGGAGGATCAGTAAGATAGTCGACGATCTGCTGCACGACAGGATTTGACTCCTCAGAGACTGACGGAAGATTCATAAAGAACGAGAAGAGCTAGCCTCGTGGAAGAATTTTTAAGCCTATTAAACAAAAAAACACAGCCCTATGCACAAACTTCGGATCCAGTACCATAGGAATGGGACAGGACCAACAAAGAGGTACTACTTCGCTGAATGGAGGAGCCGAATAGAACACCAAGGGAGGATCTATTGGTCACGTTGGGGGATTCCTGTCGAACTCGCGTGGATGATGCTACACCAACACGTGCGCTTGGAACACCCAGAGTTGCTAAGCAAACGAACCGAGGAGATGCGGACACAAGCAGCCGAATAGAGGAAGCACGAAGAGGATCAAAAGAAGTACGCCACACTGCACAACAACAAACTAGGAATGACGATGTTGCTAGCAATGCGATGGACGACAAGTATTACGCTGGGAAAGACCGGGGAGCAGCTCAACGGAAGTGAATTGGATTTGTGCACTGCCAATCACTACTTAACTGACAGACCTGAAAGTGCAGGACTGGGGACGGACTTGTTCGGAGGTGGACGAGAACGGAGGTGCAACTGCCAGAGACGACTGGACGACGTACTGCTTATGTGCAGGAAGGTGCAAGCTACCCCATTGACAATGGCAAATGTCACTCTCCTTTGACTCGGACAAAAGCAACGGGAACGATGGGACAGGAATCAAACGGGTGATGCACGCGTACGACTGCATGGGTATGGCCTGGCTGGACCTCAACCGCAACACCTCAACTCGGCGCAAGGAAATCTTGCACATAGAAATACGGAACATTCTACCACTGGCAGGCCAATGGAGGGCACAACTGCATGGTGTTAGCATTGTCCGCCACCATGCCTGCGGCACGTTGAAGCGTGGAAGAATGCCAAGGCTGCCTGGCAGGATTTGTGTAGCCTTCTAGGGGACCCCCCCACCCTCCCGGTCACACCCACCCGACTGCATCGCCCTTCATACCCGGGGTCCCTGGGCGCCCCCCTGGGGCTGTCCAAAGCTTCAATGACGGCACAAGAAGCCAACAAGACGGTCCAAGAGGGCCCCGAGTCGCCGAACGATCGCTGGAAGACTCCGAAGATGGCCTCCAGGCGACCCAAGATGCCTCCAAGACGACCCAAGAGGCCTTCAAGAGGCCTCCCAAAAGGGCCCCAAGAGGCACACATTATCCATGTTCCTCAATTTGTTGAGGGATGTTGGCGTTCTCGCCTTTTCGGCACCCCGACGCTCCTAGACGGCCCACGAGGTCCCTTAAGACCATCCCGAAACATCCCAAGAGACCTCCAAGATGGCCCCAAGACGGCCCAAGAGCGCCCTAAAGCGGCCCCTTAGGCGCCCGAGACGGCCCAAGAGGGGGAGCACGAGCCGAAAATCCTAGCTGTCCTCCCCAAGAGGCCCCCGGGAGGCCCCAAGAGGCGCCCACAAGGCCCAAGAGGCCCCCAAGAGGCCCCCAAGAGGTCCAAAAGAGGCCCCAAGAGGCCCCAAAAATGAGTTCCAAGAGGCCTCCAAAAATCCAACAAACTCCTCTGCGCCGAAAGGCCCGACAACTACAACATTACAAAACAACTGAGAAAAAACAAAACACCTCAATGGTAACACACTCCGTGAAATGAGACTGCTAGGACCGTGCCTACCGTCAGGCCAATGACTGGCTGGAGAGATAGCACGAACATGTCAGGTTATGAAGTAGCATGGTTGCACTGCGGGCCCTTCTGGACCTCCGACACGACCGAAAAAGTCAAGCGGACAATCTTCATTGCGTTTGTGTTAGGTGCTGCTTGGAGCGGACTAGCGGCAGTTGCTCTGACGGAGACGCAGACGGACGTACTTAATGCTGCGATTGGAAGGTACTCGCGGAGACTTGCAGGGAGAGAGAG